CTCCTAAACATACCCCCTCAGGCCCAGAAGTTCTAGCAGTTGCCCTCAACACCCGGGGGCCAGAGTTCCCTCAGAATTTAGCAACCATCACCCCCCCCACCTCATCAGTGGGAATTAGTTAGAGAGGGAGAAAAAGAGGGAATACGTCAACCCCTTTGTATCTGTCCCAGAAATTTGTCCCCATTTCTGTTTCTGTGTCTGTGTTGTTGTCTATCTCACATTGGAGTTGGTCTGTGGTATAATTTAAAAGAATAACTTTTGTTCCTTTCACTCTGCTAATATCTTGCTTTTTTAATTTTAATTCAAACTGAAACCATTTGTTATGGGAAATAGAGATAAAAAGAGTGTTAGTCTGTTTGGGGTCATTATAACAAATGCCCGAGATAATCAAGCTCTCAAGAGGAAAGGCCTATTTGGCTCACAGTTTTGGAGGTTGGTAAGTTGGGCCTGTTGCTTTTAGGCTCATGGTGAAGAAACACATCATGGTAGGAGCACACTGGGGAACAAAACTGTTCACCTACCACCGGGCACACACCTGTAATCCCAGCAGCTCCAGAGGCTGAGGCAGGAGTATCATGAGTTCAAAGCCATCCTCAGCAAAAGTGAGGCGCTAAGCAACTCAGTGAGACCTTGTCTCCAAAGAAAATACAAAATAGGGCTAGGGATGTGGTTCAGTGGTCAGTGCCCTTGAGTTCAATCCCCGGAACCCCTTCTCCCCTCAAAAAAAGAAAAAAAAATTGTTCACCTCATGGCCAGGAAGTGAAAGAGGGGAAGAGAAAGGGGCGGTCCCACTGTCCACCTTAAGACAGACTCCTAATGACCTAAGGAACTCCCACTAGGCTCCACCTCTTAAAGGTACCACAACTTCCCAATAGCACCATCCTGAGGAGAAAACCTTTAACACATGGGCCCTTGGGGAAGGAACACTTAAGATCCAAGAGCTACATTTTAGCAAAGGGGACACATTTAAAACACCCAGACAATACCACCCTCCCAGAGACAGTTGCTTATCAACACCATGGCCTATAGCTCTCCACATACTCTTCAATGCATAGAAGTATATTGTGACAAAAGTCAAATTTCATCATACAGCCATATACATATGCTTCTCTAATTAACTCTATGTTTTCCTTCTATATATGATGATGGCCTTTCATGTTAGTGAGTTTAAATTTACCTCATTGTTTTGGAGCCTGCCTAGCATTCCATTTTATGACTCCAAGAATATGCCAGGCAGTCCCCTCCTGTGTGTGTTTAGGCCATTTCTAATGTCATCTTACAGATGCACTGGGTCAGAGCACCTGGCGGGGGGTGGGGGGGGCGCAGAGTGTGGATTGGGGCTGAAGGTCTCTGTGTCTCCAACTGTATCTGCCTTTCCAAGTGAAATGGGGATCTGGCAGAGCACAATGACCCTTTTCTACTCCTTGGAACAAGTGATTTCCTTTAAGGAAGGCACTTTTCCGGAAAAACATGTTATTCCAAGGCTTCCCGATTCCAGAATCTAGCATGTCCCAGAAAGAAATACACCCTGGTTTCGGAGTCAGGGAACAAGGAGAAAGAGCAAGGTGGCATGCCTCTTCCTCCACCCCTTCTGACAGCTGGGTTTCAAGGATCTTCATGCTCAGACTTCCTCCAGACACAGCAAAACGGGATTCCCGTCTCCCCTGTACAATCCGGAAATGGAGGCCCAGTAAGTCAGTAGGAGTGGGAAGGCAAGGACCAGCCCTTTCCCCTATGCACATGGGGGCTGGGATGGAACCCAGCAGTTCCCCCATCCCTTCACCCAGGGGTGGAGCTGAGAGGGAAACCCCAACGGGAAAGGAAGCAAGACTTGCTGGGGAGAAGCACAGTGTGACCTCTGCAGGYGCAAAGCCTTAGGAACACCTCCACTTAGCTGGCCCAGGACTGAGGTCTGTTCACCTCAGCATGTGTTCCATCTTTAGGGAAGGCCTTTTGGGCTACCCATGAGAACCGCAGGTTACAAAGACCCTTTTGTTCTGCACAGTCAGAAATACAGATGGGGGCAGGGTCAGCAGGGGTTCTGTTCAGGCAACCCTGGGGCAATCAGACCCCTGGGTTCCCCTCTTCCTGAAGAGACCCAGTGCTGAGCATTTCCTTGATGCAAACGCCAGGTGTGGAGGAAAACTGTGGCGGCTCAGTCCCCTCACTAGGAAGATGGAGATGGTGGGATTGCTGATGGTACACTATATACAGAAAGCAGCACAGAGCCTGCTGCATAGAAGACCAGCAGAAGCAGCAGCCCCCGTGGACTGAATGGAGAGAACGCTAGATTTGAAAACTGGGGCTCCTGGGATGAAGAATGGCTCTGACCCAGATTTCTAGCATGACCTTGAGCAACTGCTTCCTTCAATGCCACCAGATAAATACCCGTCTTGGCTGGTATTTTGGTGACAGCCTATCTTGTCCTTGCTGCCTCCCTCCCTCTCTTTCCCAGAAGGCGGCTTCCTGCTGGCCTTGTACTGAGCCCCCTCTCTCTCCTCACAGGTGGGCTGCACTGGGAAGAAAGGCACTCCACATACTCCGCAAACACCACACATCACACACCACACACATATCACGCACACACACCACACCACACACATCACACCCTTCAACACATACTACACACATACCTCTCACATCACACGCCACAACATGCACATCTCATTCGCATTACACCCCCCTCCTACTGTGTGGTGGTTCACCTCACTCCACTCACCAAGGTCCTTGTCAACCCTCCTATTGCAGGATCCAGGCACCTCTTCTCCACATTCACCTTCCTCAGTGCCCTGCTCCCTTCACCCAGTTCACTCACCCTTGCAGAACCCCTCTCTCCCCATAGGGTTGCCAGATTTAAAAGGCAGGAAGCTTGAGTCTCAGATAGACCAGAATAACATTTTACTCTACTTATGACCCAAATATTGCATGAGACACATTCATACCCATAATTATTCATCATCTATCTGAAATTCCAATTTAACGGGATATCCTGCCTTTTTATTTGCTAAATCTGGCAACCTTGTTTTCCCAAATCTCTGCTCCCACACACTCCACACCTTCCTGTCCCTTCTCTAATTGCTCCTCCTCAGTCCTTCCCTTTATCAGCCTGGCCCAGGATGGTGGCCTTGAGCACCTTCTCTTCCTCAACCCTTGCTCTTCTGGGACAGTTCCTCTGGACCTGGGACCCATCTCCACTTGGGACTGGCCTTGCCAGAGTCCTCCAGGACCTCATCTCCAGCTCCTGTTGCAGAAGCCACCCATCCCCTGAGCATGTGGCAATGATCTTGTGCGTGCCTGGACACTGTACCTGCTCAGCCTGACAAGTAAGACTGTCTCTTTGTCACCTTTACCCTTCATTGCCTGGAAATGTGCTGCCCAAATGCAGCAAAAAGTGCTTCCCAGAGGAGCTGGCTGTGGTCCAGACTCATCTCCTCATGCTGGCCAGGCTGAGCCACTGATTCCCTGCACCACATGTTCTGTGAACAGACACCTTCCCCCAATTTCTGCTTGTTGAAATCCCTTCTCTTCCAGGCCAGCCCAAGGGCATTGTCCTCCCAGCTCTCYGGGGTTCTCCCAGCTCTCACCGAATCTGCTGCCTTATCCAGGAGTACACCAAGTACTGGATCATGCTTGATCAACTCCCACCTTCTCTGTGCAGTGCCTGGCCACAGTYAGTACTCAGTCAGAGTTCATGGAATGAAGGAGTGAGTGACTGAACAGGTGGGTGAGTGATGGAATGAATGAATAAATGGGAAAGTGAGGCAGTAAGGCCCATGGAAAAGATAGCTGGGAGGGTAGATGGATAGAGGGTCCAACGTGAGGTTGGGTGACTGGGAAAATGTATGAGTGTGTGGGTAGATGGAATAAGTGGATGGGTGGGGAGGTAGGTAAATGGACAGGCTGGGGAATAGATCAGTGAATAGATGAGCAAATGAACATGAGGAGCCTCCAGGCTTGACGGACTGCCCATCCCCTGCAGAGGGAGGCCAGGCTCCCCTGCCACTATGTCACAGTCCTGTCACTCTAATCTGGAGATCCTCCCTGGCCTGACCCAGTGAGGCTTGTGAGTACACAGCACAGACAAGGTCCCCTAAGCCTGGAAGGTGGGACCTGGCTCCAGCTAATGAGTGCCTACCTGAAACAGAACTGACTCTGCTTGAGGGTGGGGGAGAACAAGGCCACTTCTTCTCCCCTCTGAGACCCTGAACAGCCATTTCTAGCCACTGGAGGCTCCTGTACCCAGATATTCTATTGTGCTTGGATGTGCTCACCCACCTCTGACCTGTCCAGGTGCCTCTGGGAAGAGGACCCTTCCAAGTTCCTGTGGCACTGCATYGCCCAGGTCCTCTTTCAAGGAAGGATTTCCTTCTGATACCAATATTAGGATCTTGGGATATTAGGATATATCTGGGGGATATTAGGAACCTGCCTCACAATGTGAGTCTTTTTCTCTACCCTCTCCTGCTTCTGCCTCCTTCCCCACACAGGTGTTCATCCCTAACAGACATCTTGCACTCAGACTCGGTCTCAGTGTTCACTCACGGAGAACACAACCTGCAACAACTGCCTTCACTCCAGCTCTAGAGCTGCCTGAAGTTGGCTCCTTTCCACACACACCTAGGAAGGCCCTGCTTGAGGGCTATAGTGTCCAGAGGGACTAGGACATGGTCCCAGGAGCTCCTGTCTCTGGACTGAGTTCTCTCTTCCCTGGGTTCACCCTATCCCATCCCTTCACCCATCCCCCTCCACCAGCCTGACCCTGCCTGCACCCTTCACCCCACCCACCCCCACCACTTGGCACCTCCCGGCTCCAAGCCTCTCTCAGCCTTCCCTGTGGCATTCATGTGGCAACAGCAGCCTGTCTGGACACTATTATGAGCCAGAGACCCCCTCAGCCTCAGTCCTGCTCCCCTGAACAGGCAGACCCTGGGAGAGTCACCCATTCGGTGATAGAGCAGATATATGAGAAGGCTCAGAATTTTGCACCTTTCAAACTTGACTTTTTAACTGTGGCACAGCATTTATTCTGTGGGCAGAAGAACAGATTTTCGGTTAACAAAAACTGAATATCCATTTGTGATGAAAACAAGAGCTTTGTTACATGCCCTGAATGTAACATAACATTTTAACTTTTTTGGAATTATCTTTCAGTTCATGATTTTCCTACATTCCTAAGTGACAGCAAGTCACTCACATTCTCTAAGAATAGAAGTGACCTGTTAGAATATAGCAGTAAAGTCTGGTTCAGAATGTGTTTGAAAGCCATCTTTCTGGCTTTCCTGTTAATAAAACATCTTGTACTTTCTGTGACTCTTATTTTCTCTTCTGTGGTTTTCCAAACCAGATTTGGAAAGACCCGTAAAAGGATATGTATTCTCATTATAAAATAAATCACTTGTTCCCAGGAAGTAGCTCTTTGATTTCAGAGCTAATTTCAGGCAACTGGCCTCAGTATGCAAAAATACTCCACAGCAGAACACAAAAGAAGTGGTTTCTCAAAACGCCCACTTGGGGTTGCTTCCTCTGGTGGCAATAACACTAGTTTTACAGGCACCTTGTTGTGATATTTCCCAGCCGTTGTACATCAGCAGAGCTGGCCCACCACACATGGTGTCTGCTCATGCCTCCTGAGATGGCTTCTGGGTCCCCATCCTGAGGGTAGGGCTCAGCTGAGCCCTCAGGGCTCTGAGTTGACTCCCACTGGCTCCCAACAAGGCGTAGCAGCCCAAAATTGAAGGAGATGGAAAGTTGGTGGGATTCAGTAGGGGAAGGACAGGATGCAGGAACATCAGGGAAGACTTGTTGAGGGGGCAAGTAGGTCTGACCCACCAGCAGAGCAAATCCTGAGAGACTGTAAGGCCTCAAATGACGGTCCAGAAGTCCTGGGTACTCCGCATGGACTGGGCTTGGGGACCTGAGAAGAGAGAAGCCTCCTGGCGAAATGTGGCCACTGTGAAGCTGTGGCCAGGGCCTCCCTGAGGATCCTGAGTCTTTGAGTCATAGCTGAAGCAGCAGAGGATACAAGTGATGGCCACGGTGAACACAAACAGTACCGCCACCACCCCAATCACTGCTGACTCCATGGCCTGCACGGACAGCTGACACRCTGAGCAACATGCGTGGCCTCCGAGCCCCAGCTCCCCATCCAAAACAGTGGTCAGAGGTACCCTGTGCTCAGCTGGCTGCTCCTCACGTGTCTTCTAAGATACTGGTCTGAGGCTCTGGGTCGTGCCACCAGATGCTGCTGGGGTCTCCGATGATCTCTATTTTCTATGCCTCCGGCCTGGCTTTCAAGAGCTGTCTGTGGTCAACTCCGCTGGCAGCTTCTAGAAGACATGCACTCCCAGGAGATGTGGGCACAAGACTCCCTGGACATGGAGCCGGGTGGGGAGGAGGGGCAGAAGACATCACTTAAAGGGAGCCAGCCCAGCTGGGGCCTTCTGATGGTGCCTGTGGATTTCAGAGGGATTGTACACTCAGGCAAAAAACAAAATACTCCCCCTCCAGGGGATCCAGGAGGATCCTGGCACCTCCCCTGCAGGGACCTTGGGCCAGTTCTTGGATCCATCTCTTGGCTGCCTCCCCCATCCCTGGCCCTAGCCTGGGGGCAGGGACACAGGTAGGCAGGAAAGCAAGTGCCAGCTCTGGGCAAGGCTGGGGGTGGGGCTGGGCGAGGTGGGGACCATTCACAGGGCACTGCAGGTGCCAGGGCGGCATAGACAGGACAGGGCGTCTCCTGTTCCTTCGGGAACATGCTAAAGGGCTCCCTCACCCTGGTTCCAGGAGAAATCCTCCTCTGCCATCTTGCCCAGTCCTCTTTTCTGCCAGCCCAGACTTGGGTGCTGTGAAGACTTACCCTGTGCTCCCAGAGGGCCAGCCCTGGCTGTACCTGTGCTGTGGCCTCCTCTCYTGGTGGTCGCCCCCCAGGGCCGTGACGCGGCTCTCTGGATGCTACAGAGTTGGTCCTGCTTGGAAATTGGCTCCGAGATGTCTGAGCAGCTGTGAGTACTTCCTGAATCCCTTCCTCCAATTGTGAGTGAGGGCCCAGGACCCACAGCGGCCACCCACTCAGTGACAGCACTTACCCCGCCCCCACACTCCCTGTGCCATTCCACTCTGCCCCCTGCTGGAGGTCAGGGGAATGAGCCCGGCCCAGGCCACTCCTTCCCCAGAAGGGAGTCCCTCCTGGCCCTCATTTACATCAACACTCCTGAGACCTCGCCACTTCCAGAAAGGAGTGTGGGTCATCAGCCCCTTACCCATATTCTGAGAAATGGACTAGTGRGAAGCAATAATTCTGAGTGTCTCATAGACTCTTCACAGTAGCGTATACAGTGACATCGCCTCCATTTTTCAGATGCTGATAGTCACAGAGCTGGAGTGCCCTGCTTGAGGCCTGTTGCTAGTTAGTAGCAGTAACCACAGCACTAAAGGGCCTTTCCTCCAGTCCCAGCTCAGTGTTCTTTCTGTGTACTATAAGTACCCGATTCTGCCATTTATGGATCAGGGTACGAAGGTTCAGAGAGGGCAAGGAGCTGACACAGCCTGGAACCTTTTCAATTTCTCTAAGGACAAAAAGAGCTTTAGTATTGCGTTGGAAAACTGCCTATGCACATCTTCTAAGTTAATTGGACAATCTGGATTCTRGGCTCCTCTTCCAGAGGAAGCCAGACACCTCAGATTATTTGTCTTAACTGGAGCAACCAACAGCAGAGAATAGGGAACATAACCATTGATCCGTGGCGCTTGCAGTTTCTGATAGAATTCCTGTATCAACTAGTTAGTTTGGCAGATATGGGCATAAGGAACTGTGTTTCAAGCTTGATTTTGTTTGTTTGTTTTGGGCTTCTTGTTTGCCTGTTCTTCCCAGGTACGTATAGTTATAGGCCACCTGCAGTAGGTGTCACTGATTCTGCATTTTTAATCTGGACATTTGCCCAGTCCTGTTATCTTTTGCCTCCTATAGGTTCCCTTTTTCATCTCCAAGATTTGGGGGAGACCTCCTAACCTTCTTTGATTTATCCATAAAATCTGTGGAGAAGCTGCAGAAAGGGGCCGGGCCCAAGGGGGSCAGACCCTGAGGGGGCTGTGGCAGGAGCCAGGTGGGGGACTGACCTGGACTAGGGCAGAGCTTGGGGGAAGGAGAAGGGGAGGTGGATTGGACAGACCCTACAGAGAGTCATCAACAATCCGAGGGACCTATGGTCCATTTTCACATCCCAGAACTCTCTCATGTGACTATCACTGTGAATCTGCCTCCCTCCCCCACATTTTGTCACTCCTCATCCAGCCTCACAGAGAATCCACTGGGAAACAGAAGGAAAGAGGACATTCTATTCCAGTGAGTCACCAGGCCCTCACTTTCTGGCCTGTTCTCCATCCCCTCCCCCGCTGGCCTTCTCCCTKCGCTTCCTCCCCAGCTCCAGGGCACAGGATGAAGTCCTCAGAACAAGAGTCCCTTCTTCTCTGTGGAGTCCACCAGCTGCTCACAGAGCATTTGGGTACATGCTTCTGGGCTTTAGCAGAGGGAATCCCATTTTAAGGAAGAGGAAACTGAGGCCCAGATGAGGCAARCACTCTCCTAAGGCCACCCAGCATTTCAGTTTAAGTACCACCATTCCCTCCCAGTTCTGCTGCCATAGCAGGCACCTGGGGACAGACTAGCTGGAGACTCCAGCTTGACCAGTTACCAAGAAAACCCTGAATCCAACATGGCCTGTGGGCCCCAGAGCTCAGTCTGCCCTGGACATGGACTGGAAATAGTCCTGGAGGTAGAGCCCAAGGGGCCAGCTGAGGCAGCCTCAACTCTTCTCTCTCTGAGACCCTGGACAGCCCACAGAAGGCCAGAGTCCTGCAGATGTGCACAGGGCCCCGTCTGGGCAGGGTTTTGTGCAAACACTGAATCTTCCCTCAGAGCTCAGGCGGGGCGCACACCTCCCCACTTCCCAGCTAGCCTCTGAGCCCCAGCTTCCCATCTAAGGTCCCAGGGCAAGGCAGACATGGCCTGGCGGCTCCCTCCCATCCCCCACCATCATGCTGGAATCCAAAGACTGCACAAAAACTTCTTGGTGGCTTTATTTCATACAAGGCACTGATGAATTGAGTCTGCAGCCTCCTCCAAGCCAAAGTGCATTCTCAGGGGCTCTCCAGCTAYGTGCCTGCCAGAGGCCCACAGTTGCCTAAGGAAAGTCAAATGAGCACTTTGCCTCCACCTGCCCTCTGGCTCTACCAGTCACCCTTGTTATGACACAAAATGGGGTGTCCAGCCAATCCTGCTCTCCACTCCTGAATCCTAAATGGCCACCCCAGGTGGTCCTCAAGTTCTCTGTGCACAGTAAGGGGGAGCATAGCATGTAAATGAAGCCCAAGCAGTGCCCCCCCATTCACCCAGAGACACATCCTTCCATATGGAGACATCAGGGTCCACTCATCCTTGSGCTGGGTGACAGGGCAGGGCAGGGAGCACTGCCATCCACAGGCGTCAGCGGAAGCCTCTGTGGGCATGGTGGAGGTGGTGAGGAGAGTGGTGCAGGTGATGGTGCTGGAGGTGGAGCTGGTGGTGGTGGTTGTGGTGATGGAGGCCCACACGGGGCCCCTGATTCACATGGCCGGGGTGGTGGTGGTGATGATGATGATGATGAATGTTTCCCAGAGGGCCCCGGCCCTGGAAGAGCCAACGCTGGGCTCGCCGGGCTCTCCTGATTCTGCGTTCTCCTCCAACTGGAAGGTTCCTCTCCATGTCATGGTCCTGTGGTTCGTGGAAAAGGCAGATGGCCAGTAGCAGCAGCAGCAGCAGAATAGACACAGCAGCACCTATGATCCAACCCACAGGGGCCGTGCTCTCCAGAAGGCCGAGCATCTGGGAGCTAGATGGTCCCTCTCCACTCAGTGGCTTCAAGCTGCTTCCTCCTCTTCAGCAGCCTCTGCTCAGTCTCACAGTCATTGAACTTTGTCCCAGCTCCTGTGGACTGGAAAACAGCCAGGGAATGTGGGCGAGGCCTGTTTGGACTTGAGCTGCCGGGCCAAGGGTGAGGCCAGGGAGCCGTTAACTTTGGGGAGGCCAGGCAGGGAGGTTGGGTGGAGACAGAGGAGCTGTCAGACTGGGTGTCCTTGAGAGAGCTGCTTAAGTCTGGGTAAGAGGTCAATGTCTGCTCCCCTCCTGCCACCTGGCCAAGTGACCAGTAGAGACAGTATAGCACAAAAATTAAGACCACACCACAAGCTAAGCAGGAGACGGAGCCGTAGCTAGAAGTAGAACACTGTCCTAGCATGCATGAGCCCCTGAGTTCAACTCCCAGCAGTGCAAAACAAACAAACAAAACTGGGTGGAGGATTTTGGAACCACACAAATCACAAGCTCTATGATTGTGCCCAAATTACTTAAGCTACTCTCAAATTACTGAAGTGCCTTGGTTTCTTCATCTGTAAAATGGTCTAAGCTGTAAAAATAGCATTTACCTCTTAGGGTTTCCTGAGGATCAAAGGAGTTAAGACCTATAAAGAACTTAAATAGTTTCTGACATGTTTGCCACTGATAATATTGCAGTCGGATTTGGATTAAATTACTTGGGAGACTTTGCATCTAAGAATGGAAATTCCTGTCCTGCAGCCCACAACTCCTTCACCACTAAGAGTCAGTGAGTTATCCCGAGCTCCGTGAGCTTCAGCAGCTCCATGAGGCCTACAGGCAGATCTTCATCATCAGGGTCTGGGAAGCAAGAGGATCAGCTGTCAGCCCAGGGTCGCTGGGAGGCAGAAAGGAGACTGCTGAGCCCAGACAGGCCAGGCCCCAGTCCAGCCTCCTGGTTCCCAGACYTCAATGGGCCTCAATGGGCCAGCCTCCCTGCCATGCAGCCAAACTATGGATGCCACCCTGCCTAGTGGAGGATTTAGACAGTGCGCAGGATATGAACAGTCCTGGCTCTCTCCCCTTCCTAGTCCTGAATCCCTTCTGTTCATCACAGACAAGCACTGGTCCTGTCCTGCTCACGGCCTAGGGACAGGTACTCATTCTCCCTCTGGATAATCCTTCCTGCTAAGGGCCCGTTGGGCCTTTTGGGCTCTTGCTCACATGCAGTGGCCTCCCCAAAGCCCCAGCTCTGCATCTGGATCCCCAGGGGCCCACCAGGCAGAGTCCCAGCCGAAGGAGCTCTAAGTTTCCCCCAGTGAGTGCTCATGTCCCTGCCACCGGGAGGAATGTTTACAGAAGCCACAAAGCTGGCACTGAGCTCTGCAGCAACTCCACCCTGTGACCTCAAAGGTCTTCCCCTGACCCAGCCTGTTTGTCCTCTGTAAAGTTCCCAGGGCAAGAGATGCCTCCCTGGACTCCTCTATCTCTGACCTACATCTGAGCCACTCTCTCTCAGGGAGGGCCTCAAACCCTAAGTGAAAACCCCAGTAGATGAAAAGCCTACACATTTCTTTCAGGCAAATTGGGCTCAGGGGGCAGCACGTTTAATGAGTCCTGAGCTTCTCTGGCCCCCAGGAGAAGCCACTTGAACTTTTAATGATGCTGGAATTAAGTACTCCTTCTGCAGASTTCTGGGGCCCTGGGAGTCACCTGCCTTCCCTAGGAACACATTACAGAGGGAATCTGCTACGAGGAGGAGAAGGATGTCAAATAGGAGGAACTTTCCTCTTTAGAATTTCTCCAGAGAGACTCTCACTCCACCCCAGCCAGGAGCAGGGCAGGGCCCTGAAATCTGCATACTTGAAAAATTTCAATCAGCAATGAAGGCGCCTGGGGAATCACCCAGCCCCAGCCCGCACAGAGAGATGGAAGAATGGAGGCCACAGAAAGGAAGGGCTCTCCTGAGTTCTGAGTTCTCCTTCTGTGTGGCCAGTCAATACAGCAGGCCATCAAGAGAGCCCAGTTCATGTGAGGGGCTGTCCAGAGTGAGTGTGATCCACTGGGAACCTTCCAGAGAGATAATGAGAAGATGACATGTGATGTGGGTGAGCCAGAGTGGGCAGGAACTAAGAGGGTAACCCCCACATACATACACATATGCACAACATCTGTTTCCCAAGATGCAAGTTCACTTCCCATCTGGCGGTC